TTATATATATATCAATGCATAAAAATTAATATTTTACTTTTTAAAAGTTGAAATATTAATACTTTCTTGATATAATTATACAAAGTAAAATTTAGGTGTTAATATGTAGAAAAATAGAAATTAGGCAATATATATGTAAGTGCACCTTTCCTTTAATACATTTAACAAGTTTCCACGAATTTAATTTTTAAGTGCATGAATTCTTAGTTAGTTTGATATTCTAATATTCATATCATATTGTAAGTTTAGCAATTTTTTTTCTTTTACTGATCATACATATGAACTAAAATAATACGTGTCAATGAGCTAAAAAAATAGAGCCTAGTACGTTGAAAAGTGTTATTATTTGATTATTATAGTGATGTACCATTAAACTTTCTATATTTTTTTGGTGCTCAATTTATAAGAAGTTGTTGTCACTTCATTAGGTAGTTAATAAGATATTCTATGCATATTTTAATGATGTTTAGGAATGCTACATTAAAACAAACAACATTTATGTGGGAATATTGAGTTTCTCCATTTATCTTTCTCATTTATTTACTTAAGTATTATTTTATTTCGAGATCTATTGATAGTAAGCTTTGAAAGGTTATATTGATCTTGTCATGTGCTAGATTTGTAAAGTATATTTATCCTATTGATATAACAAATCATTCAGTTGTCTCGCAATATGATGATTCTCATTCTTATTTATTTTTATGTAACATTTTCATGTCATTATATTAAAGAATATTTGATATTTATCCACTTTCACAGTTCTAAAATATTCCTATAAATTATTGCATGATATAAACAATTTTCAAATGTTTTAATGATCATTTATGTCATGTGTGTTGCCCTTATAAACTGTTTCAATGTATAATGGTATTTTAGTGATCATTGATCATTTTCTTTGATGCTTCATGCAAAGAAAATGTAATTAATCATTCATTAGCATGTTTGATATTGATATGATATGCATTTTAATTTTTATGTATTCATGCATGTCTTTTAATTTTTATTAATGCAATCCCATGCGTTCTTCATTAATATAAATGAATTCTCACATAAACCCAACATTCACTTACATAAACCCAACATTCATTTAACATTAGTTCTCTAAAATTATTTGCAATACTACTAAGTTGCATGCTTAATTTTTGCACAATCATATGTAGATTATAAGATTAATCATATATTATCTTCCAGACTTTGTACATATGAGGAATGGTTAACGACTATTAAAAAGAAATGTTTATGTATGCATATGATGGATAACATTGGCTATAAATTTTATAGTTATGTATACATAAAATTATTCCTCATGCATGCCAAAAGATTCATGGTAGTAGAGTGCTTCTTTCATGTTTTAGCATTGTACAAGAATTCAACCAGATAATAAAAGAGAAGTAAGTAGGTGATACCTCAAATTTTTTATATAGTAACCCATGAAAAGGGAGAAAAGTCACAGGGCTTATCCCCTTTGAAATAATCATTGTGTATATCTAGGTGCACAAATCCTCTCATCTCTTGAATTAGGAAAAATTGAGTTATAAAGTTAATCATCATAGATGTGCAATAGTTGTCAATAGATAATAGCTATAACACAACTGTAATAATTGTATTTCTCAATGATAGCATGTTACAAGGTTCATAGTTTGTTGCTTTGGAGGCAATATGTCATCATGAACGTTATAGATGGTGATTTTACTGACAGCTTGTCATAAAGGTTGTAGTTGAAAGCCATTGTAGTAGTTGGTCATGTGTGTCAAAAATAATTGTTTTAGGAGAACTTGATAGCCATAGAAGCTATAGTAGAGAGCTATAAAAATGTCCATAGGTCATATTGAAGGTGTGTGAGTAGCGAGTCGTGTTGGTCATAGTTGTTCACATAGGTCAAAGTAGGTGGCTGTAATAATGTTTGTAGGTTATAAGGAGTGATTTGGTAGTTGCATGAGCTATAATAATGTTTGTTGACTGCAAAGGCTAGAGTTGGGAACTGCATGAGTTGTGATAATATCCGTAGGTCACAAAGAACAAGGTTAGAAGCTGCATAAATTATGGACCATGTAGGCTGCAATTTTTCTTAGTGGTCAGAATGGTGAGCTAAAATAATGTCCATAGGCCACAGGGGCCAGAGTTGGGATCTTCATGAGCTAGATAATATCTATATGCAACACAGGTCAGAGATGAGAGTAGGACAAGTTGTGATAATGTTTTTATACCGCATAGGGCAGATTAAGGAGATGCATGAGTTGTGGACCATGAGGTTGCAGCTAGTCACGTAGGAAGTAGTAGTGAGCTACGAGAAGAGAGGTTTAAGAGTATGGAGAAAGTCATTTTGTTGTTAGTGTGTTGAATGTAACCATATATGGTTAGTGTAATATTACATTTTCTTCAAGATTTGTTGTTGTAACATTTTTGTGCTGATGCATCAATGCACTATCTTTAAGATACATTATTCCATCATTTCTTAGGTGTGTCATTAAGCTCTATGCGGGGTGCATCATTAAATTGTCATTAAGGTGTCTTGTTTCACTATCTTTGGGATGTGTTTCTTGACAACGTTTAGGATAATACACTGCTCCATTGGGTGCTTGATACAATAAAAATATATGCATTTTAGACCCATATTTTACACTCATTTTTGTTGATATTGCACTTTAATGGAATGTATTTTTTATGTTTTATTGCAGGTTGTTAATTTTGAGGACTTGGAGCAAAAAGAAAGCAAAAAAGATGAAATTTATAGTCAAAAGGAGAAGTTAACAAAATGTTCAGCATCCATGATGCCAGACTAGGCGCCGAAAACACTATTTGACAAAGAAAGTAGAATTAATTGAATGGCTTCTACCGTCGATGTTACCAGAATGGGCGCCGACGGCACAAGTGTCAGTGCAGGTTTTCTAGAAGATTCGACAAATTTGGATTCTTTTTGAAGAGTTTTTGGATGCACCTATTGGAGAAC